CGGGTATTGGCAGGGCGCAGGGGTGCCGGGGTGCCCGGGCAGCCTGCATGGGTGCCCAGGAGCGCATGGGAGTGCTGGCAGTGTGCATGGGTGCCCGAGTGCCCGGGGATGCCGGCAGAGCTCATGGGGGTCGGGGTGCCCGGGCAGCCTGCATGGGTGCCCAGGAGCGCATGGGAGTGCTGGCAGTGTGCATGGGTGCCCGAGTGCCCGGGGATGCCGGCAGAGCTCATGGGTGTCGGGGTGCCCGGGCAGCCTGCATGGGTGCCCAGGAGCGCATAGGGGTGCTCGCAGTGCACCTAGGTGAAGAGGTTGCTGGTAACCTGTGTGGGTGCCCAGGGGGTGCTCTCAGTCCGCATGGGTGGAGGGAGCCCATAGGGGATGCTGGCATGCTATATGGGTGCCCAGGGGTGCAGGAGGGTGCTGGGGAGGAGCAGGGCTGTGCTGGCAGCCCATGTGGGTGGAGGGTGACACTGTCAGCCCATGCGGATGTCCAGGAGCACGAGGGGGTGTTGGCAGCCCATGTGGGTGCAGGTGTTTCTGGCAGCTCATCTGGTGCCTAGGGGTGCGGAGGGATGCCCAGGGCCTGGATGGGTGCAGGGGTGTGCTGGCAGCTTGCGTGGGTGCCCTGGGATGCTTATGGGTGCAAGGGAGTGCCTAGAGCCACATGGGCATAGTGGGTGCTGAGGGGCACGTAGGAGTGCTGGTAGTCTGCATGGGTGCAGGGGCATGTAGAGGTGCTGGCAGGCTGGATGGATGCCCAGGGGCGCGTGGCAGTGCTGGCAGCCCACATGGGCGCAGGGCAGTCAGCGTGGGTGCATTGGGGTGTCCCTGGGTGCTGTGCAGCGTGTGAGGGTGCAGCCTGCCTTGGTGCGCGCGGGGGTGTGAGGAGCCGTGCGAGGGCGCAGCCTGTGCGCAGGGTGCTGCGGGAGCACCACAGCGTGCAGTGCGGCGGGGGCACACGAGATGGAGGGTGCCGGGGCTGTGTCGCCGTGCGGGGCATGGGACACATGGCGCGAGGTGCTGCGGAGCAACGCGTGTCAGAGAGGAGGGCGCGGGATGCTCCGGGAGGCTTGTGCCGAGCAGCCCACC